CTTCTGACCTGCAGGCAAACATGCTGTATACATAATAAATAAATAAATAAAAAAACAATAACAACAGCAACAACAACAACAAGCCCTTAAGTGGGACCCCAACACTTAAGTATAGAACATCTGTTGTGGCCTAGGTACTTTAGGGGTTGTCTAGGACGAAGACCCACTCTACCCGTAGCTGCTCTTCTCCCTTTCACTAGATAAAACCAAGCTGTTCCCTGCTGGCACCAAAGCGGTCATGATGGTCACATTCATGGTGGGAGGTGGACCCGGCTCCACCACTGACCTTCAGTCATCTCTCTAACCTCTACCTTGTGGCCTGTGCATGTGGGGACATTGATCATCACTGTTCTCAGGTCGTCACCAGGACAGCGGAAAGGCTGGCACTTGCCCATCCCTGAGGCTCCAGCCTCAGTTTACCTCCTAGAGACCCTAGGCTTCCTTTTCCACAACATAATCCAGCGATGAGGGGGTGGGGGTGTGGCGCTCATCCATGTGGGAGTGATTGCAAGGACCCAAAAGCAGGGAGAAGTGAATATAGAAGTACATGCCTTGGACAAGAGCCTTTGCCTGCATGAGGTACAGTTGACATGGTTTTCATGATGCGTAGTTGGCCAAGATTTTCTCCCATTCTGTAGGCTGTCTCCTTACCCAGCCATGTCCTTGGCTGTGCAGAAGCTTTGAGACGTCATGACGTCAATCCCATGAGTCAGCTTCTGGCCTTATTGCATGAACCACTGGAGTCCTTCTCAGAAGATCCTTGCCTATGTCCATGCCTTACTGAGTTTTCCTCTAGCAGTTTCAAAGCCATGGGTCTCACATTAAGATATCTGTTCCTGTTTGAATTGATCTGTGTGCAAGATGAGCAGCATGGGTCTAGCTCTGTCCGTGTACGTGTGGAAACCCATTCTGTTCAGCTACTCTTCAACAGTTTACCTTACCTACCCTATGCCTTCAGGGACCACCATGAAGAAAATCCTATCAGGCCTTTTCCGGTTGGGACCGGAAGTGTCTATACCTTGTGGGGTAAGGGGAGTTAGAGAAGGGCAAGACACTGAAGTCACCTATCCCAGTCTTAACATGAGCTGTCACTATTTGAAAGCTACTTTCTTCCCATGCTCATCTGGGAGGCACTGTACCCTGTAGCTGGGGATACAGTGGAGCCAGTGGTTGACCAGAACCCCGTGTTCCCATCTCTAGACCCCATTCCCCTTTGGGATAGAGTCGTATGTAGCTCAGGCTGGCCTGAAACTCACTCTGTAGCAGAGGATGACACTGAACTCCTGATCCTCCTGCCTCGTCCCTCAAATGCTAGGATTACAGACATGCGCCATCACACCTAGTTTAGGTGATGCCGGGAATTGAACCAAGGGCTTTGTGCAGGCCATGCAAGCACTCTCCACACTGAGCTCCACCTCCAACCTCTTGGAGCTGTGTTTTCATTGCCAATCGCACCCCTGTCTCAGTGGCCAGTTTCTGGTGGACTATTGGCTCCCCGAGGGGCTGAGCCTCTGGTGTTCTCAACTTGTCGTTTTGAAAAAAAAGATTTACGTACAATGTTTTGCCTGCATTTAAGTTTAAGCACCATGTTCATGCCCAGTGCTCTAAGAGTTCAGAAGAGGGTGTCTGATCCCCTGGAATTGAAACAAGGGGTGCCGGTGAGCCATCACATGGGTGCTGAGAACTGAACCTGTGTCCTCTGCTAGGACAAGTGCTCTCAACTGCTGAGCCATCCCTCCAGCCCCTGTCCGCCATCTTTGAATTGGTGCTACCTTCCGCAGTGCTTGGCACCTACCTTTGTGAGGACCTGAGAGGTGCTCATGGGAATAAATGCATGAATGGGAAATGTCGGGGGTCATTCCCTCCCACCCAGAGTCGTTAGTCCCCGGTGCACCGGCTCTGGTGATTGCTTTTGTTCTCTGACTCGCACGGGTCAATATGTGTGAGCGCCTTTTGTAACACCGGCTTGTCTTGTCTTTAAGGCCATAGACGTCGAACCACGGATACGACCCCCCCTCACAGAAAGTAAGGTAAGATGCCTAAATGTGTTTTGTTGTTGTTTCCTTCTGAAACTTTGGTTTTGTGTGTGTGTGTGTGTGTGTGTGTGTGTGTGTGTGTGTGTGTGCGCGTGTGCGCAAGAGATCTTGTATGGCTGTTCTGTTCCCATGGGGGAGTCTGATAATGGTTTTCAACAACTGGGAAGCCCTGTAGTAGAGTCCCCTGGGTGGGGAGCCATGTTTACTTCCAGGCTCTTCCCTCTCTGGGCCTAGATGTCCACATGGCAGGGCGCAGTGAGAGAACCCCTATGACAAAGGCCCCTTCCCACCCCTTTCTGGGAAGCAAAGGGTTAAGCGTCCGAGCTAAACACAGGGCCCCTCCTGCCCTGGCATGGTATAACAACTGTGGGGAGCCCTTAGGAGACAGGACGGGGGTCTTTCCCCTCCATGTTCCCCGTTATGCAGACCAGGACCTTGGAGCCCATGCCCTCCGTACTTCACCATGGACGAGTGTCAGGCCTTTCTTACCCACATAGGCTGATATGAGTCATACGATCCCAGATCTAGAGGTTTCTGTGCCTCCACCCTACTCCCCCCGAGCAGGCACCCAACGGTGATTTAAGGCTGAACATGGGGAGGACGGTCAGTGATCTTAGTACTTGGGAAGCAGAAGCGGGGGGGTGGGGTGGGGGGGTGGGGGGGGTGGAGGGAGGGGTGGGGAGGGGGTGGCCGCAAATGTGAAGACAGCCAAGGCTGCAAAGGAAGACTTTGTCCCCCCAAACAAAACAAGAACAAAATGGACAGATGGACTCCAACATGGCTGGCCCCGTGAGAAGGTGGTAGAGAAAGGACTTTGGTAACCGAAGGGCCGTCAGGGTGTGGTGGTGCGAGCCTGCCAGCACGGCGGCACTCAGCTACGGCAAGAGGAGCAGCACAAGTTTAGGACCACACTGGGCTACTAGTGAGGGTCAGGCCTGCCTGGGGTATAGAGCAAGACCTTGTATCAGTAATCATCATCATCATCATCATCATCATCATCCAAAGTACCAGCTTACTAAGTCTGTTTTTAAAATTATTTTTCTTGAGACCACAACTCACTGTGTAACTTAGTGTGACCTGGCGATCATGACCCTCCTTGGCCTCCTGTGTTCTGGGGTTACAGATTGGTACTGACATGCCTGTATAATAAGTTCTTGTTGTTATGGAATTTTTCTTCTTTTTCTCTCCTTCCTTCCTTTTTTCTTTCTTTCTTTCTTTTTTTTTTTTTTTTTTTTGGACAGGGTCTCACTGTTTAGTCCTGACTGGCCAGCCTGAAACTATGTAGACCAGGTTGGTCATGAACTCACAAGAGTTGCTGCCCCTACCCCCCAAGTGCTGGGGAGAGAAAGGGGAAGGAGAAGAAATGGTATGGGTTTTTGAAGTCTCAAAGCCCTCCCCTAGTGACACATCTCCTCTAACAAGGCCACACCTCCTAATCCTTCACAAACAGTCCCATCAACTAGGGACCAAACATTCAAACATAGGAGCCTATAGGGGCATTCTCATCTAAACCACCAAACCTGCCCGCCTTTGATCTTGGATTTCTAATCTCCCAAACCAGAAGACAATACATTTATTTTGTTAAGCCACCCAATCTGTGGCATTTCATTATGGCAGCCATACCAAAAATTGATTTAACTCTCCAAGGTGGGAAAAAGCCAAATATTTGTCTGTCAATAAAAGAAGAAATAAATTGTGGTATGTCCACACAATGGGATATTACTTGGCAACAAAACAATAAAGTTCAGATACACATGACATGGACAAACCTTAACATTATGCTAAGTTAAGAGAAGCCAATCATGAAAGGCCACATACTGTGTTGTTCCATTTATATAAAATATTCAGAAAAGGCGAAGATATGGACACAATTAAATGTTTGCCAATGACCCGTGCATATAGAAATTTGCAAGCTGGTAGCCACCAGAAAGAGGGAGAGGAAATATTCTAAGGCTGACTGTGGTGAGGATCTCCTCGCTCGGAGATTGTATCAAAAATGACGAAACTCTACCCAGGGAGCAAGTGAATTAGCTGGGTCATGCTGCCTGCCTATAGTGCCAGCTCTTTGGAGGCTAAGGAATAGAGATCTCGTGAGCCCAGGAGTTTGAGGCTAGTCTGGTCAACCTGGTGAGTCCCTGAAAAACACAAAAATAAATAAATCTTAAAAAATGACAACTAAATAAGGGGCTAGAGAGACAGCTCATCATCGGTTAAGAGTACTTGTTCTTCTTACAGAGTGAAACATGGTAGTTCAAAAAAGTCTGTCACTCCAGGCCTAGGGGATCTGAAGCCCTTGTCTGGCCTCTCCAAGCTCTGTATACATATGGTGCACATACATACGTGCAAGCCAAAACACACATGAAACACTGATAAATCCTCAAACAATGACAAAATCAGATGGTTAAATGACATGTGAATTTACATCTCAACAAAACGTACCTTCCAAACCCCGTTCATTCCTTTGTGTGGTAGAGATATGCTCATTGTGTGACCCATAGCCTGCTCTCTCTCTCTCTCTCTCTCTCTCTCTCTCTCTCTCTCTCTCTCTCAGCTTTCCAGCTTTTGACTGTTCCTTAGTAGAGTTGCATGCTGCAAAATGAACGTGAGCACACATCTTTGCAAGAGCAAAGAAGTTGGAGAGGTGGCTCAGCAGTTAAGAGCGCTGGCTGCTCTTTCAGAGGATCCGGGTTCAATTCCCAGCACCCACACGGCAGCTCACAATTGTCTGTAACTCCAGTTCCAGGGGATCCAACACCCCCACACAGATGTACGTGCAGGCAAAACACCAATGTGTATAAAATTTAAAATAAATGACACATATATATGTGTGTATATACACACATACACACACACACACACACACACACACACACACACACACACACATATATATGCAGTACTATATCCAGCTGATGTAATTGTATCTGACAAAAGAAAGACACATTCAGATGAATACTTCCAAGATGAGTGAGCCTTAAAAACATGTAATTTCCGCCCAGCAGAGGAACTGCAGGGAGATATTTAGCTTGATGAGAAACAGCCAGTCTCAAGGCCGTTTCATGTTTGTGATTTATACATATGAATGCAGTAGTATGCATTGGCAGTTAGAAGATAAATATATAATTATTGGGTTACCCGATTAAAATATTTGATACATGACCAAAAACATTTCCCGACAGGGCATCCTGAATAATCAAGTTCTGTAGTTGGGGTAGAAAGAGTCGATGTCTAGATGGGCTTTGTAGTGACTTCCTAGGGCTGGGCATGGAAGTACATGTTGGTAGCCCTAGCCCTTGGGAGGTTGAGGCAGAAGGATTGTGAGTTCAAGCCCAGCTTGGGCTACACAGTGAGATCATAGCCCCAAAGGGAACTCTCTCCCTTAAGGATTCCCTTACAAATTACCATGAGGCTACAGGACTGAAAAGGGTCCACAAGATCATTTTTCCAATAAGGCACAGTTGCAGGTTCTGGGAGTTAGTTCACACATGCTTGACTGAGGATGTAGTTTAACCCATTGTGGGCCCGTCTGCAGAAGGCATCCGAAGAGGTGGGATTCAGGAGCGTGTGTTGTCTGATTTCTTTGAGTGCCTTTGCTCTGGATGGATTTGGTGCGTCGGGGTGCACCATGTAGCACGGGTCTGTTGAAGAAAGAAGGCACTCCATGATGAAATTGTAAGACCTATGTGGTGTCAGGAAGTCCAACCTCTTCTGATGGACTGAACCCAGAACAGCTGTACAAAGGCATTTTTAATGAAAATTACACAAAATATTTCCTCATACCAAGGTCCCTAATCTTTTTGTTTGTTTTTGTTTTTGTTTTTTTGGTTTTTCGAGACAGGGTTTCTCTGTGAAACAGTTCTGGCTGTCCTGGAACTTACTCTGTAGCCCAGGCTAGCCTTGAACTCACAGAGATCCCCCTGCCTCTGCCTCCCGAGTGCTGGGATGAAAGGCGTGTGCCACCACCACCCGGCTAAGGTCCTTAATCTTAATTTACATGTCTTACTGAAGGACAGCATCACATGCCCTCATGACTCTAGTCCTTTATTACGTATCATTTGCGGTACACAATGATACAAGAGCCTCAGGTGTGCCTGAGGTGTCTTGTGACCAAAATCATGAGATGGCTACAATGCCCCTTCAGGAAAACAATCACCATTTTCCACAAGGATTCTTCAGGGTCAAAGTACTTTTAAAAAACAGCCATTCACTCTACCATCTACCCCACACAGTGATTCTGCTAAATTCCTGTAACATCGGTGACAGATGAGACGTGGCCCGTGGAACAGAAAGTGCCCAGGGACAATGCTTGGGTTTCCAGCTTGGGTGACAGGGCATAAGTTCTGCCCAGGACACCCTTTCCCAGACTCTGCCATGGCTTCTCCCTCCTTTTGTTCTGCTCAAATGTCACATCCTCAGGGAGGCCTTCCTGTCCACCCTGCTTACGACAATGCCCTGACCCCTTAGTTATTTAGTCTCTGTGTTGGTTAGGAACAGATTTGGTTGATTTTAACAGAAAACCCCCAAATAGCCACAAACACGATGCAACTTCATTTTTCTTTTCGTTTTGGAGACCCAGAGGTAGGAGGTATGTGGGGCTGGTGCAGGACACCTTGCTGACTGAGACCCAGGCACCTACTTAAATTTGGTGCTTTATCTTGTATGGTATTGCTGCCTTTCCCAAGGTGATTTATAATCCAAGGAGCTGGCAGGAGTGAGGCAGGAAGAATGCCCTAGGGAAAGTGGCATAATAGCTGTATGCTTGGGCAGGCTTCCAGAAGTTACCAGAAGACTCTCCCCCTTCCATCTCTTTCTCTCTTTAGCTGAAGGTTGGTCACATGGCCACACGTAGCTGCAAAGGAGGCTGGAAATGTGATCCTTGAGGGGGGAAGGGGAGGAAACACTTAATTCAGCTAAAAACAGAAACATTGATTAGTTAGGCCGAAGGAGAGGTGGTTATGATGGGATGTGGCTGTGCTAGCTAGACCATGCTGGCCTAATACATATTTAAGTAGGATTTGTTCACTGTCTCCCAAAATGTGGGCAGACACTCTGTCTTGTCCTTTGCCACATTTGGAGTGACCAGGGGAATACAGAGTAGAGAATGTCTCAAATATTTATTGAGGGGGAAAAGCTGACATGGTGGGGACTTGAGAATAAGAGGTGTTGTGTATCGGGTGTGGGTGTTCACTCAGGTTTGTGGAATCAATAAACAGAGGCACCTTAAGGATGATTCTAGCCTTTCCTAGCTGCAGAGGGGATCCATCTCTATGGACTGCTCCACTGTAGTTTAGCAAAGGGCTCTTTTATTGTTCTCCTATTTACACCTTTAGCAAGTAAATCTTTGTACCCCAAAACCTCTTATCTAGTCTTCCCAAGGGGACAATGCCAAATGCAAATTCTCAGTGTTCCAGGTTCTTTCTCAACCACATTTGCATAGGCTTTGCACCTTCAGAAGATTCACATCAGGGGTGCCTCGAAATAAAAGGTAGCAATCCCAGAAGGCAGATTAAGGCTAGGTGCTAACACTCAAACCAGGTGTAGCTCTGTGGGAATTCTCCCAACAAAGGGGGGTTTCTTCCTGTTTTACATTTTGTTTTCTGAGACAGAGTCTAAATAGGTAGCCCAGGCTGGCCATGACGCTCCTGACTCTGCCACCTGAGTGCTGGAGTGAACCCCTGGAGCTGATACAGTATATTACAGAAGAAACTGACTACAGAGGGAGGCACTCATTCTCAGTGTCGGTGTGGGGAGAGGGTTCGGTCCTCAGCTCTCTTCAAGGTATTTACATTGAGATATAGAGGGGCTAGCAAGATGACTCTGCATAAAAGTGGTTGCTAGGATACCCCCTCCCCCATATCGGAAGGAGATAAGGAACTCAGGTAAGTGGTCCGTAAACCCCATATGTGTACCACAATGTGTCCATGAAAACACACACACACACACACACACACAAATGAATGTAATAAAAAGTTTAAAAGGACATTCCTAGCTTTGCGGTGGTGTTGGTGCACACCTTTAATCCCAGCACTCAGGAGGCAGAGGCAGGTGGATCTCTGTGAGTTCGAGGCCAGCCTGGTCTACAGATCAAGTTCCAGGACAGGCTCCAAAGCTACACAGTGAAACCCAGATCCGCCTGGCTCTGCCTTCCAAGTGCTGAGATTAAAGGCATGAGCCACTGCCGCCCGGCCTTATTTTTTTTTTATTTTTGAGATAGGGTCTCACTATGTAGACCTGGCTGGCGTTGAACTTGCTAGGTACTATAGGCTAGCCTCAAATTTGGGGTAATTCCCCTGCCTCTGCCTCGAATTTTGGATATAGCAGGGCTTCTTAAACTTTTCCATTTGTGACCCATTTTGCCTGAAAAATTTTTATATGACTCTGAGTACATAGATATATAAGGAAGTATACAAATCAAATATTTACTGATGATAAATCATAAATTTACTTTAAAATGATTTATATTCATATATATGTATAATTTTTTAATGTAGGGTTTCACTGTGTAGCCATGGTTGTCCTGGAACTTGCTTTGTAGACCAAGTTGGCCTCAAACTCATAGAAATCCTGCCTCTGCCTCTGGAATGCTGGGATTAAAGTCATGTAATTTAAATTAAATTAAATTAATGATTATTGTGTGGGGAGGGTGTGATTGGCATGCATGCGTGAATGTGTGGCAGTTGGAAGGCACCTTTGACAGCCGGTTCCCTCCTTCCATGATCGGTTCCAAGGATGGAACTCAGGGTGTCAGGGTTGCATGGCAATGAAGCCATCTTGCCAGCTCTAATATGCATTCACTCTTGTTTACTAAAGACGACAGTAATTTGGCTGCTAGTAAGATGGGCATGTTTGGCCAGGTGGTGGCACACGCATCCCAGCACTCCAGGAATGGGGAAGAGCGGGTTGAGGCAACTGGATTTCTGAGTGGAGGCCAGTCTGGTCTACAGAGTGAGTTCCAGGACAGCCAGGGCTACACAGAGAAACCCTGTCTCAGAGCTAAAAAAAAAAAAAAAAAAAAAAAAAAAAAAAGAAGCCGGGCGGTGTTGGCGCACGCCTTTAATCCCAGCACTCGGGAGGCAGAGCCAGGCGGATCTCTGTGAGTTCGAGGCCAGCCTGGTCTACAAAGCGAGTTCCAGGAAAGGCGCAAAGCTACACAGAGAAACCCTGTCTCGAAAAACAAAACAAAACAAAAACAAAAAAAAAACGAAAGAAAGAAAGAAAGAAAGAAAAAGAAAGAAAAAAAAAAAGCCAAACTAGCGATGAGTATGTTTGTTTTTACATGAGGAATTAAACCTGGGCTGAATATTTCATCTTGAAGGATATACCAAATCTTTGTGGCTTTTTTTATTTTCAGAGTCAACTCCCATTTAGTCTCATCAATGCTGAGAAAACTGCTTCCCATAAATACACAGTACAAGATTGCAGAAGCATGTTTAGGGTCGTTTCAGAAATCGTTAGAAATATTAATCCCAGGCTAAAATCCACCGAACGATTTTTAAACGCTTGTTAGCAACTCCGACGGCAACTTACAGGAGCCGGAGAAATGGCTCAGCAGTTAAGAGCACTGACTGCTCTTCTAGAGGACCAGGGTTCAATTCCCAGCATCCAATGGCAGTTCACAACTGTCTGTAACTCCAGTTCCAGGGGAGCAGACACCCACGACAAAGCACCGATGCACATAAAATAAAAATAAACAAATTTTTAATAAAAAAGATTAAAAAAGAAAAAAAGAAAGAAAAAGGCAACTTACTACATAGTCCTGGAAGTCACTACAAAGACCAGGCTGGCCTTGAAGTCACAGAAATCCACCTGCCTCTGCCTCCTGAGTGCTGGGATTAAAGGCGTGCGCCACCACCACCTCCCAGCGATAAAAGTAGCTTTTAAAAGACCTTTTCTTAGCAAAAACACCAAGTCAGCCCTTAATTTTTGTTTGCTTGTATGTTTGCTCTGAACGCTCCTGCCCTGGGAGTCCTGTCTAGGCGTGGACGTGGACTCTGTGTGTGTGTGTGTGTGTGTGTGTGTAAGCACTTCCTAGTATATTTTGGCAGGAAACCAAAGGCAGGCAGGTGGGTGGAGGCGGGACCTTGCTGGCTCTGTGAAGGTGGTCTGTCAGTCGTTTGTGTGGGGACAGGGCAGCCCTGATCAGGAAACTCAGGGTGGTCAGCATGGTCACTTGTAATTGCTCTGGGCCAACAAAATAAGGGCTTCCTGTGCGGAAGGCCTGGCTTGAGATAAAGAACAGGTGCCTAAGCGCCTTGGGCCTTCAGAACCACCCTCCTCCAGGCCTTCCTCAGCTTCCTCAGGCTACAAGCTGAGGATGTGGGGGTTGAACCCTCTCTGAGTAGTGGTGAAGCAGCCGGGGGTGGGGGTAGGGTGGGGGGGTGGTGTAGAGCCAAGCAAGCAGGTAGGAGTCATTATGATACCCGAGGGGCAGGTGTTTCCAAGGCACAACATTCTCCTGCAAAACTTAAATCTGGCACTCCATTTCTGCCTCACTTCATCCCAACCCTGGCCCTAATGCCTGAGGCCCGTTGCTTATAAAGTCCCCCCATTAGGACAGAGGCAGTCCTTTCCAGGTGTCCTCAATCCGTGGAGTGGTGGGTTGAGAGGGCTTGGGCTGGCTACAGGCGCCTGCCTGGGCTGAAGAGAGGGTAGTGGCTGCTCTCATGCCTAGCCCACCCCTTGCTACACAATTATCCCCATGTGGCTAGGATCCTCCATGCTAGAAATGTGGGTTTTACAGTGAAGTCGAATGATGCTAAGTGTTGGCCAGTGTTTATAAAACACTACCTGGGCCAAACAAGACATTATAGTTTTAGCCTAGCAGTTGACAGTTAATTGATCCTGAATTTAACAGACAGAACTTTGGGCCAGTCAGAGGGAGAGCAGCTGAGAATGTGATTTTACCAGCCCAGCCACTATGGGTGGTGTCTGGAGGTGCTGGTAGCTGAGTAGAGGTCCCCGTGAACTTTCACCCTTGGGTGCTCTTCACCAGAAAGTCCCTACAGGCTGTAGGTGATAGGCGATCTGGGGTTTCATTATCCAAGACATTATATCACCATCCCCAGGATCTGAATCAGCAGCTCTCACTGGGCAAATTCTCAGCCGGTTGTAACCCAGTGATGTGACTCACAGAAACATTGTTTGTTGGGTTGTCACTTTTTATTTATTTATTTTTCGAGACAGGATTTTGCTGTGTCGCTTTGGAGCCTGTCCTGGAACTTGCTCTGTAGCCCAGGCTGGCCTCGAACTTAGAGAGGTCTGCCTGCCTCTGACTCCCAAGTGCTGGGATTAAAGGCATGCACCACCACCGCCCAGCTGTCTCTTCTTATTGTCTCTGTGAACCTTCTACAGGCCTCTCTCACACCTCGCTGAATGATGAAGTGGGGATAATGATATTTGTCTTGGTAACCTCTCCAGGCTGTTATCGGGATAAATGAGGCAATATGTGAGAAACTGCTCTGTAAACTGGTGACATTATGTAAACACGATTATTGGTAGGAGTGCACTCCCAGGTGCAAGAGGTTCAGCCAGTCTGTCCGAGATCACTGTGGAGTAATACCCAGTACTGTGGGTCGGATGGAAATTAATAGATGGTCTGGGCACGTGTGTTTGAGGGGGTGGGTAGCAGCCTGGCAACATTTGGTCCTTCCCATGACCAGGGGAGGAAGCTACGGTGAACGAACTGGGAGCTCAGCAGTCTGGAGGGGAAGGAGAAGCTTCCAGAAAGGGGGTGGAGGGCTGAGACTCTCTGGATTAAGTTCTTCCTGTGGGTCTAGGGCAAGAGTTCTCAACCTGTGGGTCATGACCCTTTTGATGGGGGCAGAAAGAACAATGGCTGCTCTTAGAGAGGGCCAGGGTTCAATTCCCAGTACCCACATGGCAGCTCACAAACACCCTTGGGCACCAGGCGCAAAAATGGTATACATGCATACACGCATACATTCATAATGGATGTACGCAAAATATTCACATACAAAAAATAAACCTAGGGCTGGAGAGATGGCCCAGCGGTTAAGAGCACTGACTGCTCTTCCAGAGGTCCTGAGTTCAATTCCCAGCAACCACATGGTGGCTCACAACCATCTGTAATGAGATCTGGTGCCCTCTTCTGGCTTGCTGTCATATATGCTGCATACATAATAAAAAAATAAAATCTTTAAAAAAAAAAAAAAACCTAAAAAAATTAAAAATACAGCTGGGCATGGCGGTACATGTCTTTAATCCCAGCACTTGGGAGGCAGAGGTAGGCAGATCTCCAGGCCAGCCTGGTCTACAGAGAGAGTTCCAGGGCAGCTGGAACTACATAGTGACACCCTGTCTCAAAAAAACAAAAACAAAAACAAAAACAACCCAACAAAAACCCAATAAGAAACATGCATGAGGTGATCTGTGGCTCAATTGACAGACACAACACTGCCCTAGGGCTAGCTTCAGGGAACTCCCTGATGGGAGCCGATAAAACCAGGCTCCCAGGACACAGTCACCCCTATCAGTGAGGCAGTCCTGACTCAGTGTTGCTTATCTGGGGCCCAGGCTGCCTGAGGTGGCGAGGTGGGATGGACAGAGGGCTGGCTGAGTATCAGAACTGGGTTTGAGTCCTGGCTCCAAATTCCACTGCAACCCGCCACTGGGCAAGATGGCCCACCAGTTGTGCGTCCGGCTCCTTGTCTGTAGAGAGGAGCCCTGGCGTCCATTTGCATGGACTCTGAGCACAGTCCGAGTGTGCCCTGTGGAGGTGCTGGGGCCTGGGAGGCCAGGGTGAGTAGCTGAGGTCAGGGGAGGCTGGCTAGGGGAGGGAAGCCAGACGCGCCTGCCTTTGGTGAAGCTGGAACTTGGGCAGGCGCAGGTTAGCAGAGAAGGCTGGGTGAGCAAGGTACTAACGAATTGGGGCACAATCGAACGGACTTGTTGGTGAAGACAGTGGGAACAGCCCTGCTGTGGCCAGGGGCAAGGGAAGAGATAAATACAAAGAGTAGGTTCAGGTCCCCGGCCAACACATTTCAATTGGCTCCATCAGCATGCAGGGCCCAGAAGGGGCTTGTGAGCTGGGACATGATGCGATTAGCTCGATCTTCAGTGCAATGAATGTGGCCTGCAGCTCCGAATGGTTCGGATGGCGGGTAGCCAGCAGCCAGAAGAAAGACAGTTCAAATGTTCTAGTCATACGTCTGGCTAGAAAGGAGGAAGACTCAAGGCGGGCACGGGGTAGGGGTTGGGGGGGAGAGGTGGCGGTGGGGATGTTGGGAGTAGCAATGGGTGTGACCTAGAGGTGTATCAGGAAATAATGCTAACCCTTGGTGCCCGGCTTTGCATATGCGCATGCGTCCTGAGTCACCTTGGTACAGGTGCGCATGCGTCCTGAGTCACCTTGGTTCAGGGGCTAGGAGAAGGGACAGCCGAGGTCCCTACCTGCCTACAAGCATGGCTAAGCTTCTCCCCAACTCCGGCTTGTTGGGTGAGGGTTGTTGCTTGCTTGATGGGTGACAGTGCTAGCTGAAGGCTGGGTGAGGGCCAGGACCCTGACACTGGGCTCAGAAAGGTGGCCCATTTAACTTACAGAGCTCAGAAAAACAAAAATAACCCTCCATCCTCAAAGAGTCCCCAGCCTCCAGAGCCTGCCGAAACGTACCTGCAGATCCAAACACAGTACAGAAGAACCATTTTGTTCTGGCGGCCACATGGGTAGTGTTTGTGTCGGCAGGAAAAATCCGCTGTTCTTGATTTAGAGTTATCCAGGGGTAGATTGAGATTTACGTGGGACTCAAAGGCTAGATAATCTTTTGGTGTGTGTGTGTGTGTGTGGGGGGGGGTTCTATTAGGAAAAATAATTCAAATGTAACTGTTAGGCTCTCCCTGGGCCTTGGAAATGGTGATGTATACAGGTTAACAGGCCCCCAAACTTTAACCTGTAGGCTCCCAAGTCCACTCTATGATAGCAGGCCCGTGTATTGTATTAGATGAAGATATTTATGCTGTTGTTTCACCAAAAAAACAAAACAAAACAAAACAAAAAACCATGGATTGTAGCCTCAGCAGCTACCTAGCTACTGTTCGATCTTACTGGTAAAGAGAGAGACACTCAGAGAGGACACATCTGCACCTGTCCCAAGGCCGGGTAGGGATGTGCCCTGGATGGAGGCCTCTGGTCTAAGGTCCCCTTTCTTCAGTGGGTGGTGGAGGCTGTGAGGGTCCTGGGGTACTTGAAGGGTGTCCTGGGGCTTAGGTATCTCTGCCCTGATGGGTGCCAGGCCAGGGGCTCCCAGCACCCGGGTGTGCGGTAGAAGCTGGACTCTGGTCACCTCAGGGCCCCATATGCGGCAGTCTTGGCCTCAGGAACCATGGCCTGCAAGAGAAGCTGCAAACTGCGAGGTGACCAGTGGTTGACGATAAGCAAACCCAGTCTCTTACTCCTGAACACAGCTGTGAAGTGGGCCTCAGGTTCCTTACCTGTGGAATCAGGGTGGCAGTCACTTCTGTTTGTCTGAGTTCTTACGTGTAGTAACAGGATTTTCCCTCAATCCCCAAACTGAACAGTGTTCCCAACCTCTTGGACGCGCAAGAGCCAGAGAAGGCTGGGAGGATGGGGACAGCCTGTGGCCTGAGGCCCAAATTCCTTGCGGGAGCCCGTGAACTCTTTCATGGAGCCACTGGGACGGGCGGTTCGGGCTTAGTAATGTGAACTCTGACAGTCTGGGATGTAGGCTTGGGGGGGCCAAGGTACGGTTCCGTGCGTCATCCTTAGATCCTGGATCCTCTAGGGCGGGCAGGCACAGGGACCCAGTGCGAGATCCCCGAAGCCGCCTAGCTCTGGCTTCCGCTCGCTTTCCACGCCCACTTGTGTGCTTCCCCAATGTGGGGGGGGGGCGAGCCCTAATCTCCGAAGAAGGGGTGTGGCCCCGCTCGCGTTCTCCAGTCTGCCGTGTCTGGGGGCAACACTCCAGGATCAGTCCTCTCATCCTCTCCAGATCGTGTCGCACACCTCCTGCCCCGGGTCCCACCCACCCGCTCAGGCGTGGCACAGTGCCACCACGCGTGACCGTGCGCTCCTTACGTGGGGGACGTGCTGGGTGCTGCCTCCTTTCCGGCGCGGGAGGGAGCAGCCGTGACTCTCCCGCTCCGGCTGGGAAGCCCCAGCTTGGTGCAGCAGAGGCGCGTTGCAGCCAATGGGGACTGAGGAGGTGGGCCGGCTGGCGGCTGTCACCCTCCCAGGGACGGGAGCTCGGAGGTCCGGAGCGCGTAGGCTGACGCCCCGCCCGGGGACTGAGGGGGAGGAGCCAAAGTAGGAGGAGGAGTCGCAGATCCGCCACCGGAGGACCACTGCTCACCAGGGCTACGGAGGAGCCACTGGCCCCACGCCTGCTTCCCCGCATCCCCGACCGCCAGCATGATCGCTGCGCAGCTCCTGGCCTATTACTTCACCGAGCTAAAGGATGACCAAGTCAAAAAGGTGAGCCCCGCCGGCGCCGCCCTGGCCACAGCCTTGCATTCTTGCATCCGCTCGCCGCCACCGCCTGCATCCTCCCCCAGCCTCTCCCGGAGGCATTCGGTTGGACTACAGGGTGCAGGCGACAGGCCTCGCTCTGGGGTTCACCAGGGCATTGTCGGCATGTGAGCATGTGTGTGTGTGCTTTGAGGAGCTGGGCGGCTGACTGAAGACCCCCACTCCCAGACGCTGGATTGTATACTGCAGTGTCCTTGAAAAGGACCGTGGATGTCAGTTGGGTACCGCGAAGTGCCAGGCTGGGACCTGGCTGGGTGGGGACCAGCGGGCCTGTCTGTAGGGCCTGTTTGGGAAGGTCCATGCGCCGTGGGCGGGGAAGGTGTGAGCACTGAGATACGCTGGGGAGGTTAGTGAGCAGCTGGTGGGGGTGCTGGTTGAAAGCCAGGCATCCCGTATTTGGGGTTCCCATTTGGAGAACGTGATGCCCTCCTGAGACCGTCACTGGGCTCCCCCAGCTGTTGCAGCTGTTCCTTAATCTGAGGACGGGGTGACCCGCCTGGCTTTCCGGTGTGGGGAGAGGAGCAGAGGCCACCGGAAACTTTGCTCATAGGCCTTAGGTCTGGAACCGCACGTCTGAATGGAATGTTTTATTCCTCTAAAGCTGTAATTTCCAGGCGGTCTCAGCCCAGGAGCTCAAATAAGACACTTTAGTCACTTGGAGAGCGTGGAGGGTTTGGCATGTGTTGCTTGTGACATGTGTATTCTTGCACACGGACACCTGGTCCTTGGGGTGATGTTTGTCTGGTGTAAAGTGCCGTATGCTGGTGGGTCTTGAAAGATTTATCTCGCTTTTCTGCCACCTTATCCAGGATGTTTTTCCAGAAATAGCCTGAGATAGTGGGGGAAACACACATTTTTATTAGTGCTATAGGTATGTTTACCCACCCTAGGGTAGTTGATATAATTAAGGTTAGTAGGTTCAGTCAGTCTGACTTGGACATTCAGACAGAGAACTATCTACAGGTGAGAGGCAGAGGTGACCAGGGGCTGACGCTTTCCCACCCGAGATTTCCTCATCTGGCACCTTAGGAAATGGTCTTACTGAGGATTATGACCTCCTGAAGGACACAGCTAGTTAGGGGTGGAGCCAGGGCGGGGCTCCGGCCTCCTTCCACCTAAGAACTGGACCAGAACTCCTCTTGGATATCAGCTGAAAGGGAGGTGCTGCGGGACAAGGCTGCTGGAGATGTTGCTCCCATCCTGGATCTCAGGCTGGGTGTGGACCCAGAGGAGGGTGGTTAGGAGATGATGGGCTTGAGCACATGCCACAAGCTAGGGTTCCCATACCTCAGGACGCACGTTCACTCCCCTGCAGAGACCTGCCCTCAGGGAGCTATGCATCAGCACTTGTAATTCCTAAGTTTCTTCCTTGGTGGTGTACATTGCTGATGCTTATCTCATGGAAAGGGGAGACAGAAGTTCCAGCGTAGCAGAGTGTGCTTAGAATAGGCCTCCTGAACCAGGAGTTCACAGCCCTCCTAGTTGTGATACCCTGGTGACTCCGGATGGCAGATCCCGGGGTGGAGGCCCAATGACCTTGTGAGCTAAGACTCTAGCATCACACCCACAGCCACCTGTGTGCCTGCCAGCTGCCTGGCTGCTCCACTACTTGGTGCTGGGTGGCCTCCAGTGGCGGGGTTGGGCTAAGGTTTGGACCACAGCTCTCCACTCCAACAAGTGGCTAGATTCGCTTCTGCCACATTCTATCTACCAGGCTCCTGTAGGTATAGGAGCGTGTGACTTCTGATTCAAATGATGCTTAACTAAAGCCCTCCTCAGTCGGAGATTGTGATGTCCTCTCCCCCTCCCCCATCCCTGAGCCTTGCTGGAGGAAAGTCCTGAGGCTGAAACTTTTACCTTGTTTGTGTAGGAGATCTTTAAAACAAAAAAACCAAGAGCTCCCAGCAGGGCGGTGGTGGCTCACACCTTTAATCCCAGCACTTGGGAGCCAGAGGCAGGCGGATCTTTGTGAGTTTGAGGCTAGTATGGTTTATAGAGGGAGTTCCAGGACAGCCAGGGCTATACAGAGAAACCTGTCTCTCAAGAAAAAACAACAACAACAACAAAACCCCTTCCGCATCTCGCCCAGAACTTCCATATACTTCTTAGGCCCCTTCTAGGACATCACCTCTGCCTGTATGGTGGGCTGCCATATGTGGGTGTGGTCCGGGAGAGGATCCCTAGACACATGGTGGTCACTTGCTCCAATGAGTCAGTGTCCTCTGCAGCTGAGTACCTCTAGGGCTCACTATTTTGTTGGAGACCTGTCCTTCCCACCCCACTGCCTCTTATGACAAAGGCTGCCTGGGAGTGCAGGTCTCCAAATCTGGTTCTTTTTGTGGGGCCGGGCCCTGGGAGCTATCCAGAGGGGGAAGCCAGTCGAGGCTTTCCCAGCGTGGGTAGCCATGATGATTCAGCCCTCCAGCCTCAGGCGGCCGGTGGGGCTCTGGAGACAGACTTGGTGCCCTCTGGCAATTCATAGGACCTTGCTGTCTGCTAGAAGGAAGGCAATCGGATCTTGTTGGGGAAGGTTTTCAGGGTTGCCCAGAATACAAAAGCACCCAAGAGAGGGTTTTATTTCCTCCCACTGCCGGGGAGGCAGCCGTAATCCAGCCTTTCGAGCCACATTCTGGGGCGGAAATGGGTGAAGCGTCTGACTTAGCTCCGAGCTAAGGCTCTGAGGCTCCAGGCTGCTTTTGCATAGCGTTGGTTAAAGGGTGCTGTGAAAAAGGGGACCTGGCTGATGGAAGCGTAAAGCGCACACATTTTTCTTCACGTGTCTCATGTTTCTAAGGGGAAGAACAGGCGCATGAGTGCTTGTGACCGCTTCCATTCATCAGAATGCCGGACATCCTCTAGTCCGGGAAGCTGGAGGCGGGGCCCTCTAACCTCCAAGTGGCTTTTAACGTGCCTTGCATTGCCCTGCCTGCTCTCCATTGTGTGTCGCCAGGAGGGACCTGGCGGCTTCTCGCATAGTATGCTGTTTGTTTAGACAGGAAAATGAGAGATGGCTCAGTAGTTCAGAGTGTCTACTGTTCCTGCAGAGGTCCCGAGTTCAGTTCCCACACCCACGTCAGGTGGCTCACAACCACCTGTAACTCCAGCTCCCGACGGAGTCTACCTCTAGGCTCCTTGGGTAGGGTGACACAGACAGGTAATCTAGAGAAGACCCGATGTGGGTTGCTTTTAAACCTCAGCACTTGGGAGGCCGTGGTAGGTAGAAAAACAATAAAACAAGAAAGATGGAGCCAGGATTATTAGAGAAGGACTTGATGTCTTTCTCCCTAGGCTTCCCCGAGCAGCCAACAGCAAACGTTAGTGGACTTTCTCTGGCTGGATCCCCATCGCCCTACATAATCTGCATAGGGAACGAACAGGTGGCCCAACCCAGGAGTCCTCGGCCCAGGAAAGCCAGGTAGAAGAATGTGCTTATCAATTAAAAGGCCACCAAAGGCCGTTTCCTCAGAGGCTGGCTGTTATAGCTATAAAGGCAGTTGGAAGGAAGAAAAAATGGAGCCGGCTGTAGTGGCTCATGCCTGTAGCCCCAAGGCTCGGCAGGCCAAGACTGGAAGACGTGAGAGTTCTAGGCTAGCTTGGGGGTACACTGTGAGACCCTGTCTCAAAGCCATTCTGTTCCTTATTGCTTAGGGAGGGCGGGTGAGATGACTCAGTGGCTAAAGCGCTTTTTTCACGAACCTGAGGACCCGAGTTCGATCCCTGGATCCCACAGTTGGAGAGAACCAACTCTTGCAAATTGTCCTCTGACCTCCACAAAAGCATGTCTGCACTCACATCATCATCAACAAGAACAATAGTAATAAGTTGAATTTTAAAAATAAAATTATGAAAATTGCCTTGTACATTTTCAACCTGGTATTGCACCCTCAGCTAGGGAAGGCCTCCTTGGTGAGGGTTCTGTCATATTCCCTGGTTCCCTCCACCATAGGTGCCCTAGGCTCCACCGATACAGCGGTGGTCCATCATTTACGGGTAGGATCCTGAGAGAATGTCGTGAGGAATAAACCAGGCAAGTGGCTGGCTCTGAGGTTCCTCCTCATGTGGCCAGACCATGTGGTGCTGCCTCCCACGCTCCTGCTGTTCTCCGGGGAGATCGTGGACAGCCTTCTCCTCGAAAGACTGGGTATGACTGGATGGTCTGCCTGCGTGTGTGTGCCCGTGTGTCTGTACCCAGGGTTTCCTGGCCGATGGAGCTGGTCTCTGGAGCCAGCTCTGCATATGCCTGAGGTATGTTGGCTACACAGAGGCAGCCATCCCCCTGCGTCCGTGTGCAGGAATTAGCAGTGGCCAAACCACCTCCACTTGTTCCTTGACTCCAAGTCCAGGGCTGTGTAAACCAAGCTCTGTGTATTAACCTGAGGAAGGATGGACTTTAGTCTGGTTGGGGAACGGAGGACAGGTGCCTACCATCTGCCAGCCTACTGAACCACACCAGTGGGATGTGAGGAAACGACTTAGTGTGTTGTTGTGTTCAGTGTATCTGATCTGATGAACTGAACAAACAAGCTTGTTAGAAGCTTTGAAAGGTAGAGTCCAGTGGACAGCACCCATCGTGTAGTAACTTGTTTTAATGGTTTCTTAGCTCTGAGCATCTTAATGCCTTGCCTCGTATGAGATGTCACCTAAATATGACTGAGACTACGTCATGAATATGTAAAACTAAAATATGCGATGTGAATATGCATTCATTTGTAATATGTAAAACTAAAATATGCGATGTGAATATGCATTCATTTGTCCTTTCAGAAACCTCAGAGAGGCCGTGGCTGTGGGCTTAGCAGTAGAGCCCTTTTCTACCATGTGCTAGATCCTCAGTTCAGTTCCCCATCACTGCCAAGCTACAAACAGATCCGTTAGCCAGGTTGTCGGGGCAGGAGGCATCACACCCGTGCTTCAGGCCACCCCTCCCTCGGGCAGTCCTGTGTGCT